TGTACTAGGGTCCCCTTTTCTCCACACCCTCGCCAACCCTTGTTGTTTGATGATTTGTTGATGGCGGCCATTCTGACAGGTGTGAGGTGATACCTCATTGTTGTTTTAATTTGCATCTCTCTGATAATTAGTGATGTTGAGCATTTCTTCACATGTGTCTTAGCCATTTGTATGTCCTGTTTAGAGAGGTGTCTATTCAGCTCCTCTGACCATTTTTTAATTGGGTTCTTTGTCTTCCTTTTGTTGAGTTGTATGAGTACTCTATATATTTTGGAAATTAACCCCTTATCTGATGTATCATTGGCAATGATGTTCTCCCATACAGTGGGTTGTCTTTCCATTTTTTTTTTTTTATCCTCACCCGAGGACTTTTTTTTCTCCCATTTTTTGTTCAGATAGAGTGGGAGGGAGAGAAAGGAAGAGAAAGAGAGAGAGAAACATCAATGTGAAAGGGACATATTGAGTGGCTGCCACCCGCACAACCAACCAGGGCCGGGGACAAACTGCAACCGAGATACATGCCCTTAGCGGGAACCAAACCCGGGTCTCTCTGGACCTCAGGCTAACGCCCTAACCGCTGAGCCAAACCGGCCAGGGCTGCCTTTCCATTTCGATGGTTGTTTCTTTTGTTGTGCAGAAGCTTTTCAGTTTGATGTAGTCCCATGTGTTCATTTTTTCCCTTGTTTCTGTTGCCTTAGATGATGTATCAGTGAAAATTCTGCTGCGTATGATGTCCGTATGCAGAGTTCTTTCCTGCCTCTGGGAGTTCACTCATGCTGTTCCCTCCTTAGGTAACACTATTCCCTGCCTTTTTTTTTTTTTTTTTAATTTTTCTTCTTTGATTTTAGAGAGAGAGGGAGAGAGACATAGAAATATCAGCTGGCCGCCTCCTGCATGCCCCCCATTGGGGATCAGGCCCACAACCTGGGCATGTGCCCTGACCAGGAATCGAACTGGCGACCTCTTGGTGCATGGGTTGATGCTCAACCACTGAGCCACACCGGCCGGGCTTTTTTTTTAAAATAAGGGGAAGTTTATTCAGAGTTACAAAAGCAAAAAGAAGAGCCTTTGGAGCTTAGAAGAAAGAAAGGTGAAGGTAAGGTGCCTGGGGGAAGGAAAGGGAGGGGAAGTGTGCTTCCCTGCTTTTTACAAGGCTGGATCCTTCTCCTCCTTGGGTTCAGCTTCTAGGACCCCTCTCAGAGCATTTGTCTTTCTGCCCTTAGTTCAGCAGCTGGACTCAGCCCTACTGGTCTCCTTGGTCTCAAATTTGTTGTCTTCAAATTTGTGATTATATATTTATTTGTGGACTTGGCACTATGTCCTTCTTAGATGAGACAGTTTTGTAAACTCAAGGAGAGTGTTTGTCTTATTCACTGCTGTATTTGAGCCTAGATTATCTGGCACATAGTAGGTGGTCAGTAAACATCTGTCACATGTATAAGCAAATGAACAGATCAGGTGATCAGAGCTGCAGAAAGGCAGTAGTCGGATTAAGAGAAGAAGGAAGGACCACTGTGATCTACTAGGCAAAATCCTTAGTGTAGGCTGGGTACGAATGCCATGGTGGAGGAGCCGGGCATCAGGGAACTGAAAGACATTTCAAAGGTGATGTGGTATAGCAGAAAGGATAATAATGCAATTATTCTTTAAATGGAAGCCAGGATCCCTGCACTTTAATCCCAGCTCCGTTACCAGCTGTGTAATGCTGGGCAAGTTTCTTAACCTCTCTGTGCTGGAGTTTCTGCATCAACACCTTAGGCACCAACAAGTGGCACCAACACCTTAGGGATATATGTACCTTGAAGGGTTATGTGGATTCAAGGCTGTGGTTGTCCAGGACTGGCCCCCGTTGGTGGGCTGACAGTCAGTAATGGAGTGGAAATTATAATTCAGGTGGAATCTATGGGATTCAGGGGCTGCTTGGCCCTGACCCACCTCGTTAGCTTCTCCAAGATGAGGGTGGCTTTTAAGGAGATGAGCTTTTAGTCCTGGCCAGTTTGGCTCAGCGGTTACAACGTCAGCCCATGGACCAAATAGTGTCGGGCTCAATTCCTGGTCTAAGGGCATGTACCTGGATTGTAGGTTTGATTCCCAGCCCTGGTCAGGGTCATACAGGAGGCAACCCAATTGATGTATCCCTCTTACATCAATGTTTCTCCCCCACCTTCCAATCTATCTAAGAATTAATGGCAAAATATTCTCAGATGAGGATTAACACCAACAAAATACATTTTAAAAGAAAAAAGGAGACAAGCTTTTGAATTCTCAGCTTTTCACAAAAAACAGCCTCCAAGGCAGAGCCCCTGGATTGCAGCAGATGATTTCTTTGTTATTCACTGCTTGTGGGTGGGTGGGTGGTGCCACGGGCTGTTCATTTCCTGAATGAACAGCTGTGCCCTCTCCTCCTTGTTGAGAATAATCATAACACTACTTTAAACCTCGACCCAGCCTCCTCCATTCAGGGCTCTCCCGCTGCCTGGCAGCCCAGCGCAGGTCGCCAGCTGGTGGGGAGGAGCCTCGGAGAAAAAAGGCTGGACCATGAAGGGGGGTCGGCCGGGCCCTGGCCCTGCGTTGGCCTCAGTGTGCCAGCCTCAGCCTTCTCAGAACTAGCCCTCCAGGCCTCCAGGCCACACCAGCCTCCTTTCTCTCCCTCTGGCACACCAAAGCTCATGACCGTCCGAGGGCCTTCCGACCAACTGTCCCCCTTCCCACGATGTCATCTCTCTAGATTCTGGCAAGGCTGGCTCCTTCTTGTCAGTCAGGGCTCATTTTATTTATTTGATTGATTGATTGATTGATTTTGGTACGTGCCTCTAGCGGGGGCCGAACCCAGGACTGTCTGGTCTGCAGGCCAACACTCCAACTGCTGGGCTGTTGGGGCTCATTTTAAACATCATCACCTTGGCCCTAGCTGGTTTGGCTCAGGGGTTAGAACCTCGGCCTGAGGACCAGAGAGTCCCGGGTTCGGTTCCTGTAAGGGCACGTACCTTGGTTGCAGTTTGTTCCCGGCCCCGGTTGGGGTCGGGTGGGTGGCAACCGGTCCATGTGTCCCTCTCATATTGATGTTTCTCTCTCTCTTCCTCCCTCTTTCCCTCTCACTCTATCTGAAGATAAATGCAAAAATGTCTTCAGGTGAGGATAAAAAAAAATCTTCACCTTGGAGAAGTCCTCCCTGGCTACTCCCCTCTGCTGGCCCATTGGTTTGTAATCCATCACTCAGTCACCAACAGCCCAAGGCCAGTGCTGCACCAACTCAGGAGCCATGGGGAGAAGAGCCAGCCTTGGCTTCGAGTTCTGCCCAAGTCCTGGCACCCGTTCTCATTGGCCAGGCCTGGCCAGGGGTCCTGTGGACCAAGACTGAGGAGAGGGGAGTTCCCAGCTGAAGGGCCAGTGGGTGGTGGGCAGTGAAAATCGCAGGTGTCCACCATGGCTCTAGTCCAGAGCCCAGGGCTCAGGTCCCTGCTCCGTCACAGTCACTTCTGAGCCAGGTGACGCCAAGCCTGTTTCCTCATCCAGGTGAACCTCACAGACTTGTTATAAGAAGCAGATGAGATGAAGGAAACTATTATTATCTCTGGAAGTGAGGTAAGCAAAGAAGAAAGAAAATGTAAAAGGAGGAGGTTCCTCTGGGCAGGGTCCTCAGACAGGGTGGGACAGTCAGAGGTCTAGGCCCCAGGTTACAGCAGGTGACGTGTCTCACCATCTTCTTGTAGAATCAGAAGTTTGGACTGTGTGAGTCTGATTATTCTGGGAGGTTCTGAAAGGGCAGGGTATGTGAGAGCATTGGGTGCCCTGGGTTCAAGTACCCTTCTGACCGGGTAAAGAACACAGGCAAGTCACTCCTCCTGTCTGAGCCTCTGGTTCCTCACCAGCAAGAGCGGGATGATGGGCAAAGCAGGTTACCTGACCAGTGGGATGCCCTCAGGCACCTTCCTGTCTAGTTTTCTTTATTATTTTTATTTTTCATGATTGTTTCTCTTTTAACTGCCCTCTCCTTTTATTTTGCAACTGCCTCCATAGTACTGAGAGTAGACTAGGGAAAGGCTTCCCTCCTTCCAAGCGGAGGCTGGGGGAAGGGCTGGGAAGGAGACACACCTCTATGCAGGCCTTCAGCCAGGGCTTCTATGCCTATTGCTCTCGGACCTCCAGCAGCCTTCTCTTCCCTATTTACAGACGAAGTTGTGGAGGATCGGAGTTGTAAGAGACTTGCCCAAGGTCACACAGCCTGCAAGTGCCAGGGCTGATTCACAGGGCTTGCCTGATGTGGAAACAGGAGAGGCGGAGACTCCTCAGCCCGGGTGTACGCAGCAAGATCCTCGCTCCCTTAGGGCCTCTTCAACTCAGTTCCATAGGAACATCTCAGGGAACCACAGAGAAAGATGAGTCCTTGTAACTTGCCCACACATTCACTCACAAGGATCCCAGAGCCAAGCAAAGAGCAGTCCTGAGCACTGTGTTGGTGCCAATGGAAGGTAGGGGACATTCTGAAGGTCCCAGAGGGGAGAGGATGTTATGAGAATCTCTGGGACCTGGCTCACCCAACCTTTGCCTGAAGCACCTTCTAGGGCCCTTTCTGCTGAGGCCTCCATCCTCCCAGACTGAACCCCCACCCCGCAGCCCCGCAGCCCCCTAGCACACACACACACAGGCACACACGCACACTCACGAGGTCACTCATCACCCCGCCCGCCCGCTCTCTAATGGACAGGAATGCAAGCTGCCCTAGGTTCTTCCTCCCCTGCATTCCTCAGCAGTCACTCCCACCTGGCAGGGCAAATTACACCCTGGCCTGGCAATAAAAGCCACTTTCCAAAAAAAGAAGCTTTAGGGCCCTGGGAGACGCAGCTAACTCTCTCACCCAGCTGGTGCCTGACTTGGGAGGAGGTGTCTGGGCCCATGTCCCTTTAAGCAGGGAGTACAAATTTCCCTCCCCGTCCCTCCCCCCTGCTCATCCTGACGTCAGAAGGAAGGCGTGTGTGAGTGAGGGGCCGAGGTGCCGCATGCTCACACACACACACACACATCTGCACGCACGCACACGCGCTCATACACACAGCACAGCTTTCAGACCCGTCCCCTGTGCCCAGCTCCAAGCACCCAGGAGAGGCAGAGCGCTAGACCGGCTGCAGGAGGCAGTCCCCGACCTCAGCTGCCAGGGAGAGGTAAGGGGCTGGATGGGGCTGAGCCACACCAGTTCTAGAAACTGGCTTTGGCAGGGGCAAAGGAGGGGGGCAAAGGCTGGGGGGCTGGGAAGGTGGGTTCCTCCCCCAGGGCTGACCCAGCCCTGTTCAGTTGACAGAGGGAGTGTGGGAGGGTGTGTAGATGAGCCCACCCTGCCAGTGCCCCTCCCTCCATCTCCTGGTCCCCGAGGGAAGCTAGGCTGTGTGGCTCCCTGTGAGACAGCGCGTGTGTCTGCGTGTGTGTCTGGGACTTGTGTCTGGCTCAGAGGCAGAGAACAGCAGGCACCTGCCAAGCCGCAGCCTCCTGTCTGGGAACCAGGGGGGAGATGACTGGAGAAATCATCGAAATAATCGTGTTCCTACCAGATGCCGAACTAAAGTGCTGGAGGGAACATAATGGGCCTTTTCCTCGGGAATGTGGGGCTGGGGCTGGGGAGGGACCGTCTGCAGCAGACAGTTGGATGGGGAGCAGCTGTCTCATCCCAACTCTGTTTCTTTCCGGTGTGATGGGGATAATTGTGTTAATTGGCGTGGAGAGGTGGCTCTGTGCTATTATTTCACCTTGGAGCCACCTCACTGGTAGCGTCTGCCTCTTCCGAGACCACTTCCCTCCCCTGCTCACAGTCTGGCTCTGACCTCCACCCTTGCCAGGGTGGGGGTGGGGGGGGGCTTGGGAAGGGCTGTGACTCTGGAGGGCAGGGGTGATAAGCTAGGCGCTCCTGGGGCCCTGCAGTGGGATACAGGGGCTGGGGCAGCCTTGGCTGGCACCAAGTCCCTGACTGGCCTGACCCTGGCACAAGGAGTCCAGGCAGAGATAAGGGGTGATGATGCTGGCACCCACAAGGGAGACAGCAGGTTCCTGCCAAGCTGCCAGCCTGCAGGCTCTGCCCAGGGAGAGGGGAGGGGGATGCAGAGGGAGAGCAATAATAAATACAGAGTGTGAACCGCTGCATCCGCTGGGAGGGGAGGGGAGGTGGAATTGCACCCGGGTGGAGGTGAGCAACCTCTGGGAGCCTGGCACCCAGGCTGCCTGGATGTGCTCCCGTTGAGGCCTCTCCCTGGGAAGGGGCTGTCTCCCCTGGGGGATGGGGAGCCAGTTCCCCAAACCTGACTCCATCCCAGAGGCCTCTGGGTCCTCCACATTCTGGATGTTTCTTCCTCCTAGCCTCCCCACTGCCATTTCCTTGAAGTATTTTCCTAAAACATCTATGTTCCCATACCTGCCCCGCCCCGCTGGATCTGTCTGACCCATCCTCAAAAACAAGGACAGATGTAGGCAGGAACTGCCCTGGGAGAGGCCAGAGGACAGTCTTGGGCACAGAGGCCTCTTCCAGGCCTGGAGAGAGACAGGTGGGCAGTGTTCAGGATGCCCACGGAGGAGGGTTCCCTAGGGGACACTAGGGGGTTCCACCCACCTGGTGGGTGGGGAGGGGGACACCGAAGGCTAGTCTGGAGGCAAATCCCCAAGAGTGGCACCAGTAGAGGGCGCTCATTACCTGGCTTAGTTCGTCATGTTCACTGGTCACAGGGAACATGACCAGGAAGGATCCAGAGCCTGGTGGAAAGGGGGCTTGAAGTAACCAGGACCGTTGTCCATGTGGAGCAGTAAGATGGGGAGCAAAGAGCAGTGGGGGGGGGCTCTTTGCTCCTAAACAAGGGAAATGATGGTCACCAGGATGAGTGGCATAGTACATTGGAAGGGTCAAGGCCTTTGGGGTCATGCTGATTGGAGTTCAAGCTCAGCCACCTTCCATGTTACTTTGACCGATTTGCTCCTCTCTCTAGGGGGATTCAGAGTGGGAAAGTGACTTGCCCAGGGTCACACAGCCTGGGCAGGGCTCTCAAGGTGCCCATCCTGGCATCCCCACCCCCCACTGATGCCAAGGATGCCCACAGCAGCCTCCCAGGCAGCATGGACATGTGACAAGGACAAGACTGAAAGGGTCTCAAACTCGAGTATTGGCTGGGGCAGGACACACGCGCGCACACACACACGCACGCACGGGCTGTGAGAAGGAAAGAACCAGGTGTAATTAGGTCACCTCCAGCTGCTGGAGCCGCTTGGGCACTGATGTATTTTAAGGAGCGTCTGGGGGCTGGGGTGGAGGAGGGGCTGGGAAAGTCCCAGCTTCTGTCTGGTGGTCCTGAGGCTGTTTCCTCACCCTCCTGGGGCTCACCATGGACAAGACCCCAACCTTCAGAAAGCCCCTCAGCTGTCATCCTGCGTTACTTCCCATTTCTAGGCCACCATATCCTTTCCTCCCCTGTCTGCTTCTCCACAGTGGGGTCTTGGGCTGGGTTGTTTTTATTAGGGGAGTGCTTTTTAAGCTTGCTGGAGTTTGCAAGTGACTCACCCAAGGTCATTGTCTGAGTCAGCACAAAGCCAGAAATAGAGCCCTAAGTCCCTAGTTCTTCTATACCTTGCCCTCCCTTCTCCGGGCAGAGCAGGAGCTCCAGGGGCTTGCTGCCTTCCCCTCTGGCAGGGGTTGAATCCATCCCCCTAGATGTCTCCAGGTTGCAAAGTGCTGCCCCTGACTGGCTGTGCGACCCCAGCAAATCCCTTCACCTCTCTGAGCCTCAGTTTACTCTTCTGAAGAAGGGGGATAGTACTGACAATTATCACAGTTGCCGTGAGGACTAAATGAGGGAGTGGAGCAAAGGGCTTGGCACCACACCTGGCACACAGTTAATAATCACTAGTAGTAGCCATGAACTGTGTATCAGGAGTTCTCTCGCTGAATTCTAGGTCTATCTGCTCCGCCCACTGGGCTGGGCCCTCTAAAGGAGAGGCTGGCTCATCTGTTTGTTTTTTTTTTTAATGTTTTTATTGATCTTTTAGAGAGAGAGGAGGGGAGAGAGAGATAGAAACATCCATGTGAGAGAGAAACATCGATCAGCTGCCTCCTGCATGCCTCCCAGTGGGGATCGAGCCCGAAACCCGGGCATGTGCCCTGACTGGGAATCAAACCGGGACCTCTCAGTCCATGGGGTGGTTCTCAATCCACTGAGCCACACCAGCTGGGCAGAGCTGTTTCCTCTTGTGTTTGTTGTCCAGGCGTGGAACTTGGTTTTCTTTTACTTATGTATATATTTTTTAAAATATGTTTTTATTGGCAGCTCTCTCTTTGGAGCGAGGTCCTGTTCTTCTCTCCTCTCTTCTTTCCCCAGAGTGAGCTTGCTCTTCTTCTTCCTCCCCCTTCCCCCCCCAGAACACCTGAACCTGTTCTCTCTCTGTCTCTGCCGGGGCTCTGTCTCTGCCGGGGGGGGGGGGGGTATTGATTTGAGAGAGAGAGGAGAGAGAGAGATAGAAACATTGATGAAAGAGAAACATTGATTGGCTGCCTCCTGCACGCCTCTTACTCGGGATCAAGCCAGCAACCAGGGCATGTGCCCTGATTGGGAATCAAACCAGTGACCTCTTGGTGCATGGTACCATGCTCAATCCACTGAGCCACTCCGGCTGGGCTATGTATTTTTTTTTAATTTGATTGATTGATTTTAGAGAGAGGGGAAGGAGAGAGAGAAACATCGACTTATCTACTTTTTTATGCATTAATTGGTTGATTCTTGTATGTGCCCTGACCGGGGATCGAATCTGAAACCTTGGCATATCAGGACAATACTATATAACCAACTGAGCTACCTGGTTGGGACTTATGCATGTTTTTTAGGACTAGTTTATTGATTTTTAGAGAGAGAGGAAGGGAGGGAGGGAGGGGGAGAGAGAGAGAGAGAGAGAGAGAAATATCGGTTGTCTCCTGCAAGCCCACAACCCAGGTAAGTGTCCTTGACCAGGAACCAACCAGTAACCTCCTGGTGCCCGGGGCGATGCCCCACCAACTGAGCCACACCAGCCAGGGCATATGCATGTATTTTCCACAACTTCAGAGGACAATTGGACTGACCCTCATTAGGCATCTAGACCAGTGGCAATTCGCATAGCTGAGGTAAAAGGTGAGGCCCAGCCTGGCCATTGTGGCTCAGTGGATTGAGCATCCCCCAGTTCGATTCCTGGTTAGGGCACATGCCCGGGTTGTGGGCTCAATCCCCAGTGGGGGCGTGCAGGAAGCAGTCGGTTGATGTTTCTCTCTCACATTGATGTTTCTCTCTCCCTTTCTCCCTCTCTAAAACATCAATAAAAACATATATAAAAAAAAGTGAGGCCCAGAGAGGGGTAGGTGTTTGCCCCAGGTCGCCCAGCACTGGCTGGTTAAGCCAGCTTGCTTTCCCTGATGTGCCCAGAAGGAGAGGTTATTCACATCGTCAAGAGAGGACTCTGACAGCCATTTCCTGCCCTGTCCTTCTGGGGGAGAATTAGAAGATCCCCAGCACCAGGGCAATGGTCACCTGCTGACTGGTTGAGTCACAGTCCCATGGTCCCATTACGCTGGCTGTAGCACAAGGGCCTCCCTCCGGTTATCTCCCAACAGTCCTTGATGCTTTGTTTATGCCTCCCTGGGCCCTTTTATCTGCAGCATCATGAGTCAGCTGGGGTTTGGCCTTCGGGCTGGCAAATGAAGAGGAGCTTGGCTGGGAAGGTCAGAGTGGCCAGGGGGATGCCCAATCACAGCTCCTCGGCTCCTCCCACAACTGGGACAGGGTGCTCTGATTAGCCCTAGTTGACAGAGAAGGAAACTGAGGCTCAGAAAAGGGGATGTCACTCAGCTAGGGCACTCAGGGCTCCGACTGCCAGCTCTGAAGGGCAGGAGATGCCCCTGACAAGCACACGAGGCCTCTGGGGGCTGGGCTATAGGTCTGTTTGAGTTGAAACAAATGTTCTACAGATGCATCTGTTTCTCTGCTCTTGGAGTTATTTTCCCCTTTAGTTTCTCAGGAAAAGTTCTTTTGGAAAAACTCCAGCCTCATCTTGGCTGGACTAGAAGAGCACTGTTTACCTTTAGACGAATCTGGGTTCTGTCACTCATCTGCTGCGTGATCTTGGGCAAGTCACTTAACCTCTCAGCTTTCTCATCTGTTAAATGGAAACAATTCTAATTTCAACCTTTCAGGGCAACTGGAAGGTTGAGAAATGAAAACTCGTCTCTGAAAAGACTTGCAGGTATATGTATGGCATTAAGACAATAAAAGCCCCACCTGGAAAAAGGATGTGGCTCGGAGGCTTGCTCTGCATCCCTTCTTCCTGGTCTCTTAGGCTGTTGGGCGTGGTGCGGGGTCTTCAACTCCTAGGCTCTGGCAGGGCCCAGAGAGGGAGAAACTCTGTCCAAGGTCACAGAGCAAGTCAGGAGCAATACAGGGCCCCAATCCAGGACTCCTGACTTCCCACTCCAGGCTGCAGAGTCAGATTGCTCTGGTTTGAGTCCTGTCTCAGACATTAATGGCTGCGTGGCCTTGAGTGAGTGACTTAGCCTCTCTGAACCTCAGTTTTCTCATCTACAGCATGGGGTAAATGCACCAGCCTTGAAGTTCCACTGCAGGAATTTAATGAAAGGAGAAGCTATAAGGGGTAGGGCAGGGATCAAGTGGATGAGCGAGTCCTTGAGGGGGTAGGGAAAAGGAGAGTGAAGGCTGGGCTTGGCTTAGCTCAGTGGGTCTGTCTTTCCTCCCCCTCCCTCTTCTCCCCATGCCCAATCTAGCAGCCCTGTCTGGAAGGAGCAGCCTCTTATTCAGCATCTACTGGGTACTTCCTACATTTTGATCCCATTTCTTCCTCCTAGGAGCTCTGTAAGGAGGGAGTCTTGTAACCCCAATTTCCAGAAGAGGAAGGAGATGGGGGAGTGCCCAGAGCAGGACCACTGTGGCGATGACCTCATCTGCCCCTCCTGAACTAAGGCAGACTCCCTGCTTCTCCCAAGGGTGCCCCACCCCCAAGGTGGGGTAGGTAGTGGGGGAACAGCCTCAGCAAAGTCCTGTGGGGGCTGGACACTGCCGGTCCATCTGGGGAGGGGAAGGAAGAGGGCTGACCCCGTATATTAGCTCAGCTTGTCTCCTTCCTGCAGCCGGGGCACCATGCTCCCTTGGCCTTGGCTTGGGAGGCCTGCAGGCCAGAGCCTGGCCCAGCTCAGCTGCGTCTCCCTGGTAACCACTGTGGGCTGCCTCTGCCCCTCCCCCAGCTCCTTCTCTCCCCTCCAACCCCAGGACCTCCCTGCACTGGCTGTCACCACCAAGCACAATACCAGGCCTGGAAAAACTGCAGTGGGCAGGGCTTCCCTGCTTCCTGGGGAGAGGGAGGCAGAGCGTCTGTCCCCACCGCCTGCCACCCTCACTCATCTTGGGAGCTTTGCTGCCTGTCTTCCTTTTTGGTAACAGCTTTATTGAGATATAATTCACATACCAAGTAATTCACCTGCTTAATTAAGGTAGACCAGTCCATGGTTTTTGGTATATTCACAGAGTTGTATGAGGTCACCACAGTCAGTTTTAGGACATTTTCATCACTCCAACAAGAGACTCTGTACCCACTAGATGTCGCTCCCCACTTCGCCCTCCCCCAGCCCCCGGTGAACACTACCTGCTTTCTGTCTCTGCGGACTTGCCTGTTCTGGACACTTCTGGGTGGAATCATGCACGAGGGTCTCCTGTGTCTGGCTTCCTCCACTAGCATAAGGATCTCAAGGTTCATATGCAGCTGTGTGTTCCTTTTCTGGCTGAGTAATATTTGACTAGATGCTGTGCTGCGCTTTGATTATCCACTCACCTACTGACGGACCTTTGGGTGGTTTCCGCTCTCTGGCTGAAGGATGCTGCCGTGAACATTCATGTACAAGTTCGTGATGGCTTCTCTTCTTGAAGCTTTAGTTTTCTTGTCTCTCGAATGGGGATAAAAATGCCAAACCTGGCCCACTCCTGCCTCCTGGAGTGGGCTCAGAGAGGAAAACCCGACATCAGCTTGAGGGGCTATGGGGGGCCATAAGGGGCAATTCTCCTACCCCCCCAGCTCTCCTGGCTGGAGGGGGATGTGTGGGTGCTGGGGAGCAGAGAGCCCACCTCCACCCCCAGGGGTGGCGGAGAAAGCTCATGGTCTTGACCCAGAAACACCCCACTTGCTGTGTGGTCTTGAACAGCAGCCAGGGACCTGCTCCCGTGTTGGTTGAATGAGTGACTCCTGCTCTTCCAGCCTTGCCATGTGGTGTTTTGGGGGATTCCTGGGCTCTGGACTCCTAAGGAGCCGTAAACTCTTCCCTGGAAACTCCAGACTTGGGGGCAGGGCAATATGGAGGCCAGAAATAGACTTCAGCTCAGGGATTCACCTCTGACCCCAGGGCATTTGAGTGGGGGGGGGTGAAGGAATGGGGGTGAGGAGATGGAGAACCCATCACCCTCATTCCTACATGACTATGGACTCTGGGAGCTTCCTTATATCCCCAGGCTTAGCCAAGCCCCACCAGGCAGAGTTTGTGAGGGGCGAGGCAAAGTTTATCAGTTCCATTGTACAGATGAGGAAGCTGAGGCCAGTGCAGCGCTACCCAAGGTCAGTAGCTGGTATGTAGCTGAGCTGGAGCTCTTCTGTCCAGATATCCTGCTGGCCCCATTGTGGCAGGCTGCCCGACCCAGGCTCAGTCAACAGCCTGGCTGGCACACCGAGCGTTCTCCCCAGGGTTCCAAGACCTCCCGACCTCCGGGGGAAGGAGGACAGGTAGATACATGGGTAGGGACACTATGTTCTCTTCCTCAGTAGAGGAAAATTCAAGGTCATCTAGACACTGTTGGCGTGGGAATTCTATTGATTAGCATTGATAAAAGCAATTTATTGGGTATCTACAAGATGCCAGATGTTGTCACACACAGTAAATCATTGACTCCTCAGCAACCCTGCATGCTAAGTGTTCTCAGTCACATTTTAGAGAGGAGGAAAGGGGGCTAAGGAAGAACCACCGACCTTCCTGAGGGTTCACCCTGCCCTTGTCCTATTTTAAGCATGTAGCAAGTCATTTAATCCTCACAGCAACCTCTCTATGAAGTAATAACCAACACCATCCTCACTTTTCAGAGTAGGAAACTGAATCAAAGGTTAAGAGTATTAACCAAGGCCACACAACCCATAGCTAGAGAAGCCAGGATTCAAACCCAGGCCATCTGGGCCCAGAGCCCACACATCCACCCTCCATGTTGGGACTGAGGTCACCAAGTTACAAATGACAAAGCTGAGATTCAAAATTGCTGACACGTGTGCCAAACTGTGTTCCTGACCATCAGTGGCCACTTGGCCCTCCCACCTCCCAGGCCCCTAGAGTTAGAGAACCGAAACAGAGGCTGGAAGGACTTCGAGGTGAGTCTTCCTTGGTGTGGACCACGACGGAGCACCACAGATGCAGGCTTGGACAACGGACACCTGCTTCTTCCAGCTCTGAGGCCAGAAGTCCAAGCTCATGGTGCCAGCATGGTCTGGGTCCAATCTGTAGACGGCCCTCTTCTCGCTGTGTCCTCACGTGGCGGGGAGAGAGGAAGCAAGCTCTCCAAAGTCTCTTCTAAGGACACTAACCCCTTCATGGGGCCTTACCCTCCTGACCTCATCTAAACAGAGTTACCTCCCAAAGGCCCCATCTCTAAGTACCATCACTCTAGGACTTAGGACTTCAACACATGAAGTTTAGGGGAAGACAGTTTAGCCCACAGCGTGGTTATACGATTGCTTTGTCTTTCTGGTGAGAACAAGAAATCAGAGATGGGCCAGGAGTGCCCTGACGCCACTCTGTGAGGACTGGCAGGCAGGCCCTGCCATCCAGACTTGTGCTCCGTGTTCAGGGGCTGCCCCTCCTGGCCCACGCTCACCTCTGTCTCTCTCTTCCCTTCCAGACGGAGCCTGTGGCTGGTGAGGCTGCTGAGCAGGGCCAGGCCGGGCCCTGCCCACAAGGACGCCCAAGCCCTTCACCGGCCCTTGTGCCCGGGAGCCCACCAGGCTCTCCTGCTGGCCCCACCATGACTTCGGAGCCCACGTCACCCCCAGTTGTGCCCCCACTCCACTCCCCTAAGTCCCCAGTGTGGCCCACCTTCCCCTTCCACCGGGAGGGCAGCAGGGTCTGGGAGAGGGGCGGTGTCTCATCTCGGGACCTGCCCAGTCCCCTGCCCACCAAACGAACCAGGACATATTCAGCGTGAGTACCTGCCCCTTGCCCAGGCTTCAGCCCCATCCTTGTCCACCCTCTGTTGTTCTTTCCCAAGGACAGGGGAGCTGTGTATGAACTTTCCAGTAACTGCTAGTGTTCGTTAGTTTGTTCGTTCGTTCATTCATTCATTCATTCCACAAAGATTTACTGAGCTCCTGACCAGGGGATCCAGTGTGAATTAGACAAAGTCTCAGCTGCAAACAATTCAGAGGGAATTTGTCCACCATTCAGTCCCTCTGGCAGGGTTGGGAGTGAGGACTCGGCATTGGGAAGATGAGATCTTAGCTGAGTTTGGAAGATATATCAGGTGAAGGCTGAAGCTGGAACAGCCTGGGCAAAAATGGAGAAATGGGGTTGCCTTTTGGAGTAGAGTGGGCCTTTGGGAACAGTCACTGGGTGGGGTCCAATGGGGGAGAGGCTTGTGGGGTCCACAGGGTGACTGACGTGGCTTGGCCGGAGGAGTTTTTTGACGGCAAGTGCTGAGTGTCCCTTGTGTCCAACCCAAGGCTAGGCACAGGGCAGATGCTTGATAAATGAGTGGATGAGTGACAAGTGAATGGGCAGGGTACCGTCTCTCTTCAGGAGATGTGAGGTGGGGCGGGTGCTGTGCAGAGGGACTGGCTGGAAGTCAGGAGACCCACTGCTGTGTGCCCTGAGAGTCAGTCCCCTCGGCCTCCCTCGTCTCCTTTTGTCGGTGGGATGATGAAAGGACTGACTTAGCATAACTGGTTTCTGGCCTGGGGTAGGTTTACTGAGGCAGGCTCCACAGGCAGGGCCCAGGCCTGTGGGGGTCTGGAGGGGGTCCCTGGGCCACAGCTCTAATCCCCCTACTCTATCCTTAGGACAGCCCGTGCCTCGGCTGGCCCCGTGTTCAAGGGTGTCTGCAAGCAGTTCTCACGCTCACAAGGCCATGGCTTCATCACCCCCGAGAACGGATCGGAGGACATCTTTGTGCACGTATCTGAGTGAGTCCTGTCCCCCGCCGTCTGTGTGTCCCTCCCTCGCCCTGCTCTTGGCCGCAGCGTCCCAGTCTCCCCTCGCTGGCTGAGCTCGGGGCTTCTGGCACCTTTCTCCTCCTCACAGGGGCTGGGATGCATGGGAGGAGGGGCCGGGCCCGGTGGGGAGGGGCACTCAGACCCCAGGAGCTCCAGAAGCCCTGGGATCCAGTCTCAGCATCAGGGGCTAGGAGGGCCGGGCCAGCCCCTGGGCCCTTCTGCCTAGAAGGGGCCCGCAGGCAGGTAGGCTAGGAGGGGACAGGGGTGTCTAGGCCTGTGTCTCAGCCCTAATGCCAGGCATGACCTGGGGAGCTCACAGATACTCTAAGTCTCAGGGACCTTCCTGTGTCCTTTCACATCTCACTTAATCCCTAAAGAACACAGGAAGGGACAGTTTATGCTTCCCATTTTAGAGGAGAGTGCTGAGGTTCTCAGAGGGAGGCTAGGCCAGGCTGCAGGGGGTGTCCAGGGAATGGGGCCTGCTGCTGAGCTGACACCTCTTTCCTGTCTCCAGCATCGAGGGGGAGTACGTCCCGGTGGAGGGCGACGAGGTGACCTACAAGATGTGCCCCATCCCGCCCAAGAACCAGAAGTTCCAGGCCGTGGAGGTGGTGCTCACCCAGCTGGCCCCACACACTCCCCACGAGACGTGGTCCGGCCAGGTTGTGGGCTCCTAGGCTGGGTGGGGAGCCCCCAGGGTGGACAGGCGGCAGCTGGCTCCAGGCCTCACTGCACTGGCTCAGTCCCCCAGGCGGCCTCAGTGTGCACGTCTGTGTGTCTGTGCTTGTGGCCGTGCGCGTGTGCCTCCATCCAGCCCCGTGACCTGTGACTGTTGTGAGCTGGACCTAGGGGGAAGTCATCAGATCGTCCTTCTCTGCTTGTCCACTCTCTTCTTTCTTCCCTCCCTGCTACACTGGCACAGGACCTCTTGCCCTCCTGCCCAAGTGTCCACTGAACCTCCGCGGGCCTGCATCAGGCGGGCTGGGAGCCGGGCACGCCCGGCCCTGGGGAGCAAGCTTCTCCCCTGCCTGGGCCCGAGGCCCGGCCCAGACTGCACTCAAACCTGCCCCTGGGCCAGGTCTCCTGTGGCGGCCTTGACCTCACCCTTAAAAGCCAGGGTAGTGAGCACTTTGGGGGGCCCCCAGCCCCTGGCAAGAAGGCGAAAGGCAGAGGCAGCAGGCCGCCCTCGGTGCCCCGGCCCAGCCTTCCTCCTGCCCTCCTCAGCACACACTGGAGGCAGGAAAGGGGTCTGAGGGCAGAAGGCAGTGTGGAGCTCTTGTTTTGCTGGCCAGTCCCTCCATGAACCCCAGACTGAGGTCCCACCTTCTCCCCTGGGCCATGCTGACTCATGGTGCCTCCATTTGCCCAGGAGGTACAGGTCTGGAGGGGTCGGGACACGCTCCCCCAACTTGGATTTAGACCTCCCCTTTCCCTGACTCACAAGCCCCACTGATGCTCTGGCTGTGCCCAGCACAATGGCTGCTGAGGACCCAGCGGTGGATGGACCACGTCCCCCCAGGCAGGGCCAGGCAGGGGCACCCACAGAATAGCCTCAGCCTGGGAGACCACCAGCCCTGCAACCCCCTTGCTGGATCCTCTTCCCGAAGCCCTGGGTCTGCGGCTCCTGCTGGTGCCCAACGAGTGGCTGAGTTGTGGTCCCTATGTTGTCTGTCCCCTAAGGTGTGTGTTGTGTGCGTGTGTGTCGAGTACAGTCACTCTTGGGTGGGGTTGGCCTGGCCTGGGAGGCCAGCAAGGAGGGCTTTCCCTTCCCCCTGCCCCACTCCCTGCAGAGGGCATCATCGCTGGGGACTGAAGGGGGCTAAGGGAGGGCCTGCCAGGACAATGACCCTTAGGAGACCCAGTCTGTGAGTAAACGGGGCTCAAATGCCCAAGATGAGGGGACAATAACGCTAGGATCCCCAGCCCCGAAGATGCCCCAAGGCCCCAGAGTAGAGATAAGCGGGGATATGTGCCCACCCCTGCCCCCGGGCCCCACCCCAGGCTGGAAGCCCAGAGCTGCTGATATGTGCTGGCCAGCCCCCCCAAAACTCGGAATGGCCTAGCCTGACACCCCACTCTGAGCTGGGGCTGCTCTGGTCAGGCCCAAGGCCTTTCCCCTGGGGAAAAGGACTCCCAGGCCTCCTTGGTAGGTTTATTGGTGCAGGTTAACTCTTGGGAGCCCCCTAAGACCCCCTTTCCTGTGAGTAGACCCCCTTTTATAGACACTGGCAAGGAGGCAGGATGTTGGGACATCGGCCCTGGGGCCACCTGGGGTGGCAGAGGGGCGGCAGCACTCCTGTCACTCACGGCCCAGGGGTGTCCAGTTCCAATCTCCCCCCCACCCCGAGGCCCCCAGGCTCCCCCATCCTTCCTAACACTGGCAATAAACCCTCAACTGTGACTCCGCCTGGCCCAGAGCTACCTGTCTGTCCAGGTCCCGGGGGAGGGGCTGGGGGAGGACACCCCAAACCACCCTCCCTGACAGGATCAATGACTCCCGTGTGACCTGGGGCCAGTCCCTGTCACCTGTGCCTGGCGCCAATTATCCATTCAGGCAGAACTGACGCCATACCTTCTTGTGGGAACGTTAATATATTTGCGATCAAGATCCACAAATACACACCCTCCCCACTGCTCTGCACCCCATTTGGGACAGGAAGGCAGGGCGGGCTGTCTCGTACCGACACATACAAGCCTCCAGTGTAGACAGAAACTTGTTCTGTTCAGAAGTACAAGCAGCAGCTTTAGCCAGGGCCATTGGAGTGGAGAGTGGGGCCAGTCGCAGCAGGAGCTGACTACTGGGGACAGCGGTCTGCACAGACCCCAGCCTTGACAAGGTGGGTGGGCCTCGCAGCAGGTAATGTGAGGCGGGCGAACTGGGCCAGAGGAAGAGGGGCCCGGCACCCATCTAACACCAGGGCCAGGGGTGCCCTTTAGGCCTGGGTGGAGGTCGTAATCATGCCTCATGGGCTGTCTCTGGGAAAAAGATCTCACGACATCGCTGCACTGTGTCCTGAGGGGAGACCACGCTGTGGCCCACAGTCCGGGGGTCGGCATAGATCTCAAAGTCGTTCCCACCCTGCACACAGAGAAGGTAAAGAAGGTGGTGCCTGGACAAGGTTCCCAGAGCTGGGGCCCCCTGGCATGGAGCCCCCCAGCACCCACCCTGGCATGGAGCCCCCCAGCCACACTGGCTCCTGCAGAGCTGCCCTTCAGAACATCCAGAAAGCCCTCCTCCTTGGCCTTTACCAGGTCTGCCCTGACTTGCTGGGTGACACGGGGCAAGTGTCCAGCCAATTCTGGGCTCCAGCCTTCCAGCCTGTGTAATGGGCTGGTGAGCAATGGCTGTTCTCCGGGAGTCTCCCAAGAGGTCTGTTCTGTCACCCTGTTCCCTGGCCTCGACCTGGGTGTGACTTGGCTCGGGAGGGGCCTGGCTGAGTCACACTTACGGGGCTGGTCTCGTTCCCAAAGAAGTGGATGGTGTCGAAGCTGTCCCGGTCCAGGCAGTCCAGACAGCAGCGTTTGTCCCAGCCCTCGGGGAAGACATCGAAGCTGATCATGCCTCCTGTGGGGTCGGGCAGACAAGGCCAGCAGAGGGACGGCTCAGGGTGAGCTTGGGCAAGGCCTTCGTCACTTCATTCAACAACCTTGAGTGCCTGCTGAGCCCCACGCCCAGGGACGGAACAGAGACTCGGGATCCTCCCAGGAGTTCGGATCCAGGTGGAACAGGCAGTAAACAGACTGACCACCTCAGCATGGGAGTCAGCGGGGCGGGGCGGGGGGAGGGTGAGCTCTCTAGCCAGCATGGCCAGGGAGACCTCTCTGAGGGGTGACACTGAGCTGACATGTAAGCCAGAGTGGCGATGGCTGGGGAGCAAGTCCAGTCAGTCCCCAAGGCAGGTAAAAGCGTAGAGTATCCCAGTGACAGAGGGCAGCAGTACGGGCATGCAGGTCCTGGGGTCCAGGCTTTCTAAGGACCCCTCTGGCCACTGTGGGGAATGGGTCAAAGGTCAGGAGGCAGTGGGAGATGGCCAGTGAAGTCTGGGACAAGGCTGTTGGCAGCAGAGGCGGGAGCAGTGGTCAGATTCCAGAAGCATTCCGGACACAGGGCCCAGGGACTTGCTAGCAGACTGGACTTGGGAAGGGGTGAGGAAGGAAACTCAAGGGAGCCTGGCCGGTGTGGCTTGGTGGTCGTCCCATGAACTGAGAGGTCCCGGTTCGATTCCCAGTCAGGGCACATGCCTGGGTTGTGGGTTCGATCCCCAGTGGGGGGCGTGCAGGAGGCGGCCTATTGATGTTTCTCTCTCACACTGACGTTTCTATCTCTCTTTCCAACAAATCAGTAAAAACATTAAAAAACACACACACAATGCAAGGGAGACGCTTTAGTTTTTGCCTGGGTGAAGGGGTGTTGGCTGGATTTATGTGGGGAAGACTGGGGGCCATGACATGGAGTCTCTGCCTGTTTGGGCTGAGCCTGCCCCTGCTCTGCTGAGGGGCAGGGGTGAGGCTCTAGCCAGGCCCTCAGGCCCTCCCCAAGGGGTGGGGACGGACCACACACGTACCTCGGGAGAACCTCAGCCCTTTGCCGGCAAACTCAGTTTTCAGAGCTTCCACAAACTTCTCTCTGATCTTCTCCTTCTGCAGGAGGGAAAAAAGCAGATCAAGGCTCAGAGGCTGCTATGTGCCAGGCCCTGTGCTGGGCACACAGTTCATGTGAATTCACCAAATCTTCCAGGTGGATATCATGACCCCCACGTGACCAACGGGAAACTGAGGCTCAGAGATGGGCGGCGCCTGTTTAAGGTCACCCAGCCTCAGTGGCAAAGCCAGGGCCTGAACCCAGGGCCAGATCCTGCCAATGCAGATGTGGGTGGGGTATTCTGAAGGACACCTTGGAGTAGAGGCTAAAGGAGGAAGGTTGAGGGGAAAGGGCCATCTGAGACCCAAGTCACAGAGTCCACCTCATCCCTGTCAGCTTTGTCCAGTTCAACACAGCACACCATGGCTCAGACACCAGAGATGAGCCTGAGGGGCGAACAGCATGTGAAGACCTGTGAATAGTGGCAGTGGGTGCTCAGAGAGAGGACAGCAGGGTGCTGGGTAGGGCCATAGCTCCAACCATGCCACAACATTCATTTGCTGAGTACCTGAGCGCTGTGGGCTGGGCTGGGTGGGGGGATTCAGCAGTGCCAGGAGCCCAGCCCCCACCCCTCTGTGGCACATCCACAGACATGGAGTAAGGGGACTTACACTCCCCAGCCTGGCCCTGCAGGGGCCTCAGAGGGGAACAGCCATGCTGAGCCCGGAGGGGAGAGCCAGCGCCACAGTGACGGTTGCTCCCTCCACGCAGGCTTACTGTGGCCCAGGTACGGAGGGGGCCGTTCCCTGTGGCTGAGGCAGCGGCGAGAGCTCAGTGTGATGATCAGCTCAGAGAGCCTCGAAGCCTGGCTGGGGAGTTCAAACACATCCTGGGGGACCAAAAGCCACCAGGAATTTCAGGGCACGGGAGCAGAGTGCCTCGTGCTGCATTTCAGTCAGCCAGAGTTGGGTGGGACTGGAATGAGAGAGGCAGGCGATCGCCAGTGGTCTGGAGCCTAGAGAAGCGGTTCAAGGAGGACATGAGCTATACGGCCAGATCGGACCCAGCCTGAGATAGGCCTAGCTGCTGTGCGACCATGGGCAAGTCACCTAACTTCTTGGAATAAATGTTCCCAAATGGCCCCAATGGCTGCATCTCTGTCTCTGGAGAACCAGGCTGGTCACTGGACAGCACCATGTGCCAAGTCCAGACTCAACAGCAACTAGCACTGTGACCTCTGGCCTCAGTATCCTCATCTAAGGAAGGGGGCTACTTGTCCTCAGGGTCTGAGGGACTAAAGGAGAGTAAGCATTTATAAGGATCTGGACCGGTGTAGCGCATACAGGAGACCAGGAGGGCCACACCCCTTTCCAACACCAGAAGCAGGTGAACTAGAGCCAAAGAGATAAGAGAAGACCCTCCTCGGAGTTGTGGGGAGTCAGTGTCACCAGACCTCCGTCCCACCCAGCCCACAGATGGAAACTATGATTTCTTCCACTTTACAGATGGGAAAACAGACACACACACAGTAGTGAAGCCACTTTGCCAGGTGACTAGTCACATAGAAAGTGGACGTGGGATCGGAAACCTGGGTGGCCTGTGACGGTGCCACCTCTCACTATGTGTGTGGGAGGGGATTCTTTTGCCAATGGTCAATCTTAACTACTTTAAAAAAAATGTCTCCAACCCCGGCTGGTTTGGCTTAGGGGTTAGAGTGTAGGCTCACGGACTAATGAGTTGCGGGTTTGATTCCGGCCAAGGGCATGAACCTTGGTTGCGGCTCGGTACCCAGCCCTGGTTGGAGTCAGGTGGGAGGCAGCCAGTAGATGTGTTTCTCTCACATCAATGTTTCTCTCTCTCTCCCCCTCCTCCTTCCCTCCCTCCCTCCCACTTTATCTGAAGATAAATGGAGAAGTATCCTTGGGTGAGGATTAAAAACAAAGAAAAAGTATTTCTTGAGCACTTGCTATGTGCCAGGCATTTGCTGGGCACAGGGTATTCAGCAGTGAATAGCCACAGAAATGCTGGCCCTTTTTTTTTTTTTTGGTATGTGCCCCTAGTGGGAACCGAACCCAGGACTCTCTGGTCCACAGGCCGATGATCCAACCACTGAGCCAAACTAGCCAGGGCGAAATGCTGGCCCTTAAAGAGCCTACAGCTTTGGTGGGGAAGCCAGACAATACGCAAGATTTAAAAAGCAGGTGAAGCCCAGCCAGTGTGGCTCAGTAGTTGAGCGTCGATCCATGCACCAAGAGGTTACGGGTTCAATTCCCGGTCAGAGCACATGTCTAGGTTGTGGGCCAAATCCCCATTGAGGGGCATCCAAGAGGTGGCCAATCGATGTTCTCTCTTGTCAATGTTTCTATCTCTCTCCTCCTTTCTTTCTAAAATCAAAGAAAAAAAATGAATAAATAAAAGTAAAAGAAGGTGAAGATTTTCCTAAATTCTCTCAAACAAACAGCACCTGGCCTCAGCACTAGAAGCAGCCAGGCTTGGTTCACATCTTGGCTTTGCCTGGGCACCTCCAAGACCAGCACAAGAAGCAGCCGTCTGCAGATCGCTTTGTAGCTTCTACCTGGTGGTCCAGGCAGAACACAGGTAGAGGCTGACCTTGATCCAGAGCCAACACACCCAATAGACAGCTTTAGACCACGTCGAAGCACCACCACCACCCAACCACCTCCACAAGTGGCACACTCAGTGAGTGGACTCAGTGGGTACCAGAGCCCTGCTGAAGTAAGTCTTGCTCTGTGTGGTGGGCCCTGCACAGCTGACCCTCCAAGTTAGTCAGAGGTCAGTGAGCAGTGGACAGCGCCAGTCCTTGCAGCTGATCAGTCTGAGTAAATCCCTCCCACTGACGTTGCAACAGCAATCAAGACTCAATTACAACATAAGGGTAGACAGTCCACACGAGGGCCCAGCTAGGGTGACCAGGGAGGGAGGCTGTGCCACTGGACTCTACAGGACACCTACTACAAGAGGCCACCCTAGGAAGCCTGGGAGACATAGCAACTCTACCTAATATGTAGAAACAAGCACAGGGAGGCAGCCAAAATGAGGAGACAAAGAAACATGTCCCAAATAAAAGAACAGAACAAAATTTCAGGAAAAGAACAAAACAAAATGGAGATAAGCAGTCTAACAGAAGCTGAGTTCAAAACACTGGTTATAAGGATTCGCAATGAACTTAGAACCAAGAGCATAAAAAAGGACCAGTCAGAAATGAACGATGCACTAACTGAAATAAAGAATAATTTACAGGGAATCAACAGTAGAGTAGGTGAATCTAAGAAGCAAAACATCGATTTGGAATATAAGGAAGCAAAAAACATCCAATCAGAACAACAAAAAGAAAAAAGAATAAAAAAAAAATGAGGATCGTGTAAGGAGCCTCTGGGACAACTTCAAGCGAGTCAACATTCGCATCTTGAGGGTGCCCGAAGGAGAAGAGAGAGAGCAAGAAATGGAAAACCTATCTGAAAAAATAATGACAGAAAACTTCCCTAATTTGGTGAAGAAAACAGATATACAAGTCTAGGAAGCACAGAGAGTTCCAAACAAGATGAACCCAAAGAGGTCCACATCAAGACAAATCAAGCCCTGGCCAGTTTGGCTCAGAGGTTAGAACATCGGCCTGCGGTCCAGAGAGACCGGGTTAGATTCCCACTAAGGGCATGTACCTCGGTTGCAGTTTGTCCCCGGCCCTGGTTGGGTCGTGTGGGTGGCAACCACTCGATGTGTCCCTTTCACGTCAATGTTTCTCTCTCTCTCTCTCCCTCCTACTGTATCTGAAGAGAATATGGAAAAATGTCTTCAGGTGAGGATTAAAAAAAAAGACAAATCAACACATCATCATCAAAATGCCAAAAGTTAAACACAAAGAGAGAATCTTAAAAGCAGCAAGAGAAAAGCAGTTAGTAACCTACAGAGGAGCTCCCATAAGACTGTCAGCCGATTTCTTAAAAGAAACTTTGCGGGCCAGAAAGGAGTGGCAAGATATATTCAAAGTGATGAAAAGCAACTATCTGCAACCAAGATTACTCTATCCTGCAAAACTGTCATTTAGAATCAATGGACATATAAAGAGTTTCCCAGACAAGAAAAAGCTAAAGGAGTTCACCACCACCAAACCAATATTATATGAAATGTTGACGGGTCTTCTTGAAGAAGAACAACAAAAATATGAACAATAAAACGGCAATAAATACATATCTATCAACAATTGAATCCACAAACAAAATGAGCAAGCAGAACAAAAACAGACTCAGATACAGAAAACATTTTGTTGCTTGCCAGATGGGAGGGTACTGGAGGGATGGGTGAAAAAGGTGAAGGAATGAAGAAGTACAAATTGGTTGTTATGCTGATGAACCTCAAAGGGAAGGGGGGAGGGAGGGTGGGAAGAGATAAACCAAAGAACTTATATGCATATATGCATAGCCAATGGACATAGACAATAGTGTGGGGAAGGCAGGAGGATGGAGGGAGTGGGGAGGAGGGGGTTAATGGGGGGGAAAGGCGCAGAGGGGGGCATTTGAAATACATTCACCATAAAGATAAGTTTAAAAAGAAAAATAAATAAATAAATAAAAAGCAGGTAACATAGCCCTGGCCGATTCTGCTCAGTGGTTTAGAGCATCGGCCCATGGACCAAAGGATCGTGAGCTTGATTCCCGGTGAAGGGTACATACTTGGATTGCAGGTTTGATTCCTGGCCCTGGTCAAGGTCATGCAAGAGGCAACCAATTTATGTGTTTCTCACATCGAAGTTTCTCTCTCCCTCCCTCCCTCCCTTCCTCCCTTCCACTCTATCTAAAAAAACATTCAATGGAAAAATGTTCTCAGGTGAGGATTAACCAAAAAAAAAAAAAAAAAAAAAAGCAGGTGATACAGGTTAAGAGGGTGGTGAAGGCTGCTCGGGGACAAATCAAACCGAGGAGCAGGAGGCAAGGGGAGGCAAGGTTAAATGCAATGCGTGGGGAAGACCCCACTGAGAAAGTGACACCTGAGCAGATGTGAAGGAGGTTCGAGGAGCCGTGTCTGAGGGCACAGCCCTGAGGCGGGAGACTGCCTGCTACCTTGTAATCAGCAAAGAGGACCTGGCAGGAGTAGAGGGCGTGAGGGGGAGCAGAAGGTCAGGTCACAGAGGACAGGCACAAGCCAGCGTGCAAAGGCTCGGTCAGGTGGAATCACTCCATCCTGAAGGGAGTGGTGGGAGGTGAGGATGACAAGCAAAATGCAAGTCAAGGTTTAGCAGAGGCGGCACATCCAAAGGCTTGAGGGACTTTGTTATGTTCCAAGCACAGACGCAGAGAGGCTGAAGAGGTGGCTTTAACCAGGCAGACCCCCTCAGGGCTCAGGGCACCATGGAAGGAGGCTGGCACATTGTCCAGTTTGCAAGGGGGCATGGAAAGGCTGTGAGCAGAGTAGCCAGGAAGAACAGACATGCTTTACAAGGTTCTCAATGGCACTGCTGAACAGACTGGCTTTATGGTGTGTGCGGGGGAGACACACACAGTAAACAAATTTGAGACCAACTCTGGAGGCTGAATCAACAGGAATGATTGTTGGACCCTACGTGGGTTGGAAGGTGTAAAAGATGCCCAAGGCGTGAGCTTAGGAAATTAGGTGGCTGGTGGCGCCGGTCCCCAGGGAAGGGAAAGCAGTAATGTTAGAAAGATGCACACATGCCTACAACAGTGGCACGTGGTAGATGTCCAAAGGGGTACTGGTTCTATCAGAACACTTCCCACCAAGCCGTTTCACTGATGAGAAAATAAAGGTTCAGAGAGGTTGAGTGACTGAGGTCCTACAGCCTAAGGTGGCACCTTGTCCAATTCAGAGAACTCGATTCGCTCCTCCAGGGTACAGCTGCGGCCGATGGGCGAGATGTTCAGCATGCCATTCCGGAACTCGATGAAGGTCCCACTGGTGGCGATGGGGGTGGGAGGGAGGGCGGGAGCCAGAGAGAAGGAGAGAACGGCCCTGAATTAAATCCAGCCCTATCCAGACTTCACAGGAGACAAGAATCCACCCATCAATAAGTCAGGGCCGGAGCATCTCCAAGTCCTGTTGGAGACCCACCCCTTTCTTCCTCAGGCCCAGAATTGGGGGAGGGGGCTGGACGCAAGGCTGGGCAGGGTCTCACCGCTTCTTGGGCAGTCTGAGCAGGGCCATGTAGTGGAGGCAGAAGTTGATCAAGTCCTGCAGTAGTTCCTCCCCTAGGTGGTTCTGGATGGTCTGGGCAAGGAACACAGGGCTCTGAATGTGGGCATGGTACCACACACCCCCACCCAGGACAGAAGGCACCATGGCCTGTCTCACTGTGGAAAATGTCCTGAGCTAAGGCCCCAAGGGAGGGGGGCACTAACCTGCTTGGAGAGCAGTCGTCCATGCTTATACTGCACTGTCCCGTTCTCAGCAAACACATAGTCAAACTTCTCGATGACTTCAGTGACACAGAGAGGCCAGGGGAGAAAGAGAGCATGAGACCAGGAACCCGGAGCCAAGGAGAGACATAAAGCCCACACTTCTTGGTGTGGCATTCAAAGCCCATTTGTTCCATCCTGAACCTGCTTTTCTATACTTCTCACCATCTGCAGCTTTGTTTTTTCCCAAACAAGCAAACAAACCAGTCACATTTCTAGGCCTTTGCTCCTGCAGGTCATGCTGCCTGGAATGCGCTTCCCCTCCATTCCCCCTTCACTCCTCCAAGACTTGGCTCCCTCCTCTTGAAGCCTTCCACGACAGCCCAGCAGAGGGCGTCATTTCAGTTTGGTGCTCCCACAGTCACTCTGCACAGGGGCTTCTCTGTTTTATTTCACAGCTTTTGTTGTCAGGGTTGGTTGCATGAGGGAGTTTTCAGTTCTGGCTGCCCAGAAGTGACTGGAGTAGGCAGGAGTGGGGAGGCACAGGGAACACAGCCACAGGCTGTTGCAGGATCCAGGTGGGAGGTGACCACCTGGACAATGGAAGGGTGGTGGAGATGCAGACATGGACATAGGGAGATATTTCTGGACTGGCTGATGGGATGAACAAGGGGAAAGAGAAATTCAAGGAAGTTTCTGGTTTAAGAAGCTGGAGCATCTGCCTGAGTTAAGATCAGGAACTCAATTCAGAACAGGGGTTTTGGGTCCAAAAACTTCCTGGGTGACTTCAGAATCCTCCTCTGTAAAAGGGGATAATCATGTCCACCCTGAAGCACAGTTGTGAGGATTAAATAAAGTTAACACACGGTCATTTTCAACAAATGGTAACCATTATTGATTATATCCATTTTAAAGATGGAAGAATTGTGCCTGGTCGGTGTGGCTCAGGGGATTGAGCGTTGTCCCATGGACTGAAAGGTCCTGTTCAATTCCCAGTCAGGGCACATGCCAGGGTTTCGGGCTCCAACCCCATTAGGGAGTGTGCAGGAGGCAGCCGATCAATGTATCTCTCTCACTCTTCCTCTCTCTCTAAAAAATAAATAAAAAATATTTAAAACAAAGATGAGGAAATCGAGACTCAGCAAGGAGAACTGACAATGTAAACTACATAGGGTAGGATTCTCTCTGCTTTGTTCCCTGCTGTTTATCTCACTAAATGATTGCTGAAAAAGTGAGGGAAACATCTGGCTGTTCCCTCTACTTCCTTTGCCCCACAGAAGCAGGATGGGTCTTTGAAGGCATACTGGTCCAGGGATCTCCCGAACTTCCCACCCCCACACCCATCCCGACTATGGGACTATGCAGCTGGCTCTGGCCTGCTCCTCCTACCTTCATTCCCCTCTCCCAGCTGCTCAGCAATCTTAGAGTAGTCCGAGCCGCCCACCACACCGATCTGCACCCTACTTCGAAGCTTCTGCAGGAAGGCAGCCACCTCAGGGTCAATTTTCTGCAGCCGGGCAGGGAAGCACAGGATTCTGGCTGTCAGCATGTCTGGGGCCTCCACTTAGCCCTCACTCAGTGCTCAGGATCCGGGGAGCCCATGTTCCACCTGGATCTAACACAGATCTCAAAGAATCAAATGCACTTGGGTTCAAACTCTGACTTAAGTCCCTCAACAGCAGGATGACCTTGAGCAAATGGCTTTGCCTTTCTTTGTCCCATCTATAAAATGGGGATCACAGTAGTAACACCTGGAGGGGGTCACTGTTAGGAAGTACTTGGGAATGAACAAGCAATTAACTGGGGACTGATTACATGCAAATATTCCCCACCAAGGAAATGTAAACTAGAGTTATAATCCATGTTTTCAAATAGTCAGATATTCAAAGCTGAAAATATCACGAGTGGATGACGAGCCCTGGCTAGTTTGGCTCAGAGGTTATATATAGCGTTGGCCCTCAGACCGAAAGGTTGCAGGTTTGAGTCCAGTTCAAGGGCACATATCTGGGTTGCAGGTTTGATCTCTGGCCCCCATTGGGGTTGTGCGGGAAGCAACCAGTCAATGTTGTGTCTCTCCTATCGATGTTTCTCTTTCTTCCTCCCTTCCACTCTATCTAAAAAAAAAATCAATTGAAAAATATCCTTGGGTGAGGATTAAAAAAAAAAAGTGGATGATGATACAGGGAAACAGGCACTCTCAAACACCGCTGGTGAGAGTGTAAACTGGTACAGCCATTTTGGAGAGTAAGTTGGCAAGATCTATTAAAACTTAAAATGCATGTGTCTGGTCACCCAGAATTTCCAATTCTCTTGCCCACGTGTATATGGAGGTTCATTGGGATATGGTTATAATAACATACCTGCAACAACATACCTGCTCTGAAATATTATAATGTGGTTATAAAAAATAAAGCAGGCCTGTACTTCTGATATGGGAGAGTCCCAAGACATGCAATTGTCAAAAGTAAGTTGTAGTTGGTTAGAGTGTCATTCCGACACCCCAAGGTTTCAGGTTTGATCCCCAGTCAGGGCACATACAAGAATCAACCAATGAGCCCTGGCCGGTTTGGCTCAGCGGTTAGAGCGTCAGCCTGCGGTCCGGAGAGACCCGGGTTCGGTTCCCGCTAAGGGCACGTACTTCGGTTGCAGTTTGTCCCCGGCCCTGGTTGGTCGTGCGGGTGGCAGCCACTCGATGTGTCCCTTCACGTCGATGTTTCTCACTCTCTCTCCCTCCCACTCTATCTGTACAAAAAATGGAAAAATATCCTTGGGTGAGGATAAAAAATAAAATAATAAAAAAAAAAGAATCAACCAATGAATACAGAAATAAGTGGAACAACAAATAGATGTTTCTCTCTCTCCCTAAAATCAATTTTTAAAAATGCAAGTTGCAGGAAGGCGCACACACAGTATAACGTATGATACTACTTTTTTTTTTTAAGCCTCATGAGACAATGCTTAATATTTCCTCTGGGCAAACAGATCCAGATAAAGGTAACCAGGCAACAGGCAACCAGGTTACTTTGGGGAGAGGGTTGGATCCTGACATAGTCAGAGGGGACTTTAACCTTCTCTGTTGTTTTTATTCTTTGCAAGAGAATGCACTTATGAATACTTGTATAATTAAAATTTAACTTTTAAAAAGCACTAAGGACAGGGCCTGGCAATAACATTTGGTGGACAGCATTAACACACTGTTCTTGTACAGGCTGTTGGGTCAGAGGAGCAAAGAGTAAGAGGAAAAGGTGGGGACTGTTCCTAGACCCTGAGACCCTCCCTCTAATGTCATCTTTATCACATTCCTAAAGACTCTGGGAGATGCTGGAGGACAGGGAGGTCTGATTCCTCCCTGTGGCCCCAGGGCCCAAGCCAGAGACCTTCCAATAGGGGAGATGCCAAAGCCTGTGTTTCCATCAGCCTCTGTCCTGTAATCAAGCCCTACTGGCTCCCGCTCTAGGAGATTCCTTAGTAGTTGGTCCTTGTGGCTCCAAACTAGAGTGTGGGGTGCACTCAGGACAGGCAAAAAAGAGGCTTGTTTATCCAAGCACCCAGCTGGTAAGGATGGGTCTGGGGGCTCATTCAGGGTGAAATCCAAAGGGAGAAAAACTGGGTGTGGAGCTGAGGTTGGAGGATCAACATGATGAGATGCCTTTAGAACTGCACTCCCACCTTCTCAGTGCCACAATATCCCCTATGACATAGGGCCTATGTGACCAGGTTAGGCCTGGGAACTCTCGTCTTCAGGTGGACAGAGCCCACACTCAACCGAAAAGGTCTAGTAAGCCCTCTGTCCTCCCCTCCACCGCTGGGGTGGGAAGTAAAGTCGAAGAGGGGCTAGAGAAACTAGACCCAGGCACAGGCCTGCAAAGGCCAGGTGGGATGGTTCCAAGACCCCTTTGCCACCCCACCAGATGGCGATTCTGATGCTTGGGTGTGCTCCAAGCCCGTCTGAAACGCCCGCTTCCGGCCACCGGTGCCTCCCTGGGCTGAACTGGGGAGACCCCGGCTGGGGAGACTGGGGCCTCCGGGAGCCAGGCCTTGGCGTGTGGAAGCCTGGCAGAGGGGTAGCGAGGGAAGCTAGGCTCCCGCTCGCAGCCTCCTTCCCCCCAGAATCGACCCAGCCCAGATGCTCGCGAGCAGAAGGTGGGTGCGTACGCTCGGGGGTTGTGATGAGAGGGCCCGGGTGTCCACCACTCCCAGAGGGCGGTCCCTGGTGTCAGAGGCCGGGTACCACTGCATCTCACTCGGTCTCAGAGGTCCGGGTCAAGCCGCTGCAGGCCCCACAACCGGCCTCCGGATGTCTGCGTGACATTCCCGACCAGAGCTTCCGAACGTCGGGGCCCTACCTGGCGAGCCGGCGTGAGGGTCCCGTCCACGTCAAACAGGCAGAGGACGCGCTCCTTCCTGCGGGCGCCCTCAGCGGCCACAGCCATGGCTGCAGCTCCGCGCTCCCGGCCGAGTCGTAGGAGGTGGCTCCCAGGGCCCCGGCTGGAAGAGACTGGATAGGGCGGGGCCTGGGAGGGGCAGAGCTGGGAGGGGCGGGGTCCTCAGGCAGGCCTGATTGCGCCAAACTCCGAAGGGGTGTGGCCAGGGCGTGGTCTCGTTGGGAAGGGGCGGGCCCTGACGGGTCACGGGCGGGGTGTGTGCAGACTTGTAAGGATAATTCTGATTGCACCAGGTAGAGAAGGGGCGTGGAATGGGGCGGAGCAAAGCCCCTCAGGAGCGGTTGGATTGTTCCAATCCTTGCAGAGGCGGGGCCTGGGCCCACAGGGTGTGAGACAGAGAGAACCCGGAAGAGAGGGGGTGGGCCGGAGTTGGATCGTGGTGAGAAGATTCTGATTGTATCTGGTAGTGGAGGGGCTGAACGGGGGCGGGGCCTGGAACCCGCAGTGCAGGGCTGGGAGGGGCGAAGGCGGTACTGTCCTAACTCCGTAAGGCCATCAGTTACTCTATGACTCGCCTTTCCTGCTAATTCCTTTGCCCTAAAAATCTTGAGCTTGAGGAAATTTGATGACCTTTGCTCAGGCTCTGGACTTTGCCAGATGCCACAATATCCCCTTCAGGGTTCACAACCTGTGGGTGGTGACCCCTTTGGGGGGTCCAACAACCCTTTCATAGGGGTCACCTAAGACATAAAAGTAGCAAAATTACAGTTATGAAGTAGCAATGAAAATAATTTTATGGTTGGGGGGGTCACCACAACATGAGGAACTGTATTAACGAGTCGTGGCATTAGGATGGTTGAAAACCACTTATAGTATAAGAGAACATTTATTTAGAAAATCACAGAGGTAGAAGTAATTTGTAGAAGAAATGGGCTTAGAAAGTGAGAAAGGTCAAGGTGACCCTGCCTGGGGGAGTGTGAGGGGGAAGGGGAAAAGCAAGGGCATGCTCCTGGAGGGAGAGTGAGCTGGGTCTTCAGTCCTAAGGGTTTTCAGGGTGGAGATTTTAGGGGCGGCCCCAGAGGAAGAAACAGAATGTTCAGCAGCTTTTCAGGTGTGTCCTTTCAGGTTTCGGTTCTCCACTGATTGATTGGTCCATGCCAGGGAAGATGGGTCATTATTCAATGCAGTTGTTCCTGAGGTCAGTCTTGGTGTCCCTTGTCTGGTTTTGCTGCTTTTCTGGGCCTGGAGCTGAAATACAACTGAGGCCCAGTTTTTATCTTGAGGGAGGAAAAGTCAGGAGATGGCAAGAAGCCACAGTAAAATAAGTGAGCCAAGGTGGGGTTGCTGTTAGCTCACTGGAAAGCCACAGAAAAGGGGGACCTTGGAGACAGGTTCAGGGGTTAAGCCCAGGATGAGCCCAGGGGGTCTACACTGAATGACCAGAGAGATATGAAGGTCAGGGGTCTAAACAATGTGACCATCAATGTGCTAGGGGAGGAAAGGTCACCTTGGGGATGAGGTCCTGCCCTACAATTGTCTGTTGCTAGGCACCCAGAGCTTTCCACCCTGGTGAAAAGCTTTCCACCCTGACCCATCATCCTTCTTGTTCTGCTCTTGTCTGTCTTGACTGCCTACCACAAGATGAAGCTATAAAAGTCTGTATTGTAGCCCTGGCTGGTTTGGCTCAGCGGTTAGAGCGTTGGCCTGCGGTCCAGAGAGACCTGGGTTCGGTTCCTGCTAAGAGCATGTACCTAGGTTTCAGTTTGTCCCCGGCCCTGGTTGGGTTGTGCAGGTGGCAGCCACTCAATGTGTCCCTTTCACATTGATGTTTCTCTCTCTCTTGCTCTCCCTCCCACTCTATCTGAACAAAAAATGGAAAAATGTCCTCGGGTGAGGATAAAAAAAAAAAAATCTGTATTGTAGAATACTTAGCATGGCAAAAGCATGATCCCATTTTTGGAATAGAAAAGTAGCAGGCTGTCCCTGGGTGTGGGTATCATCTTAAATTTCAAAGATGTTTCCACCTCGGAAATGTGTTGACTGCAGCTTCTTCTCCTCCAGGGCTCTCTATTTTCTTCCTCCTTCCATACTCCAGAGCCAAAGGTCTGCCTCCATGTTCTTCTGTGCTCTGGGGAGGAATTTTTGCAGCATTTGCCGTCCTTGCCCTCAAGCCTGCAATCAACTCTGACATGATCAGTTCTGATTATATAGAGACATACTCATCCATGTACCTATGAGTAGGCACTGCTACAGGATGAGGACCAGGCCCATGGATAGTGTGTAGATTCTTGACTTCATGCAGGAAAGATTTCACAACACAAGTCCAGGTGATTTTGAGAGTATGTTTATTAAAGTTGGGGACAGAAATAAAGGAAGGGCTTAAGGTAGAACAAGCAACAGGAGAGTCTTGGCAGGGATGCTCTGGCTCACTGAGAAATAGAAGATGTAGGGATGGGGGTTTGGTGGATGAACAAAATGTAACCTTGTGATATGCATTCTTGTGACCTGGTCAGCCAAGGATCAAAGTATGTGTGTGGATAGATAAGGTTTGCCTGATGGGCAGGAAAACCACCCTGTTTGAACTGATTAGATTATTTACATGTGAATAGATTAGGTTTGCATGTCAAAGGGCAGGAAAACTGCCTGGAAAGTGACAATGGGCAAGAAAGCCCAGGTGTGAATGGATTTGTTATTTTTATCTCTCCTTTGATGTTTCTTCGCTGAAAAAAGAGAGAGACAGGGTTTAGCTATATGGTCATCAGAGATGCCATCTCAAGGAAATAATTACCTAAAACAACATGTAACCTGGGGAATCACTTTGCAAATAAAATGGGCTGCATCCAGAGATCTGGAGCACTTACTCCCTTGTGATAATCCCTCTCACACCAAGCAGCATCTGCTTGTAGTTCACTGTGTTGCGCCGACCCCCAGCAGGCCGAGAGAGATGGCAAGAAGCCACAGTAAAATAAGTGAGCCAAGGTGGGGTTGCTGTTAGCTCACTGGAAAGTCATAGAAAAGGGCGACCTTGGAGACAGGTTCAGGGGTTAAGCCCAGGATGAGCTGTCACTTGCTGCTGCTCCCCTGGTTGCAAGTCTCCTGGGGACCCTTAGAGTTTATGAGAAAGAGAGCAGAGATAAAAGGCATGGGCATGCTCAATTGAGAGCCCACTGTGGGTCCTTTGTCTTGAGGCTTTTTATCCTTTGGCCAGTGGGAATCCTAAGGGAGGTTTCAGGGAAGAGTCTTAACAGAATATTCATTAGTATTTTAGGTGTTTCCTTCAGTATGTTGATACATCAAATGTGCCCTATAGAGGGGTCAGGGTTATTTTCCGGTAAGACATCATCAAAGAGGGACAGGAACCAAGGCTGATCTATCCCTGAATAGTCTGGATAGTCTGGAATGTGTGAGCCATGTTCCTAAGTGTCCTTAGTTTATCTTCCGTAGGGAAGATAAACCTTGTGATTTATTAGCTGGCTGTAAATTGCTCACATTGTTTGGCCTTGCTTTATTATTGTGTCTTAGTTCCCCTATTCCACTTTTCAAGGAATTTTCCTAGCTTCTTTTTCTTTCTTTCTTTTCTTTTTTTTGATACTTCGTTCAGATAGAGTGGGGGGGGGGGGGAGAGAGAGAGAGAGAGAGAGAGAGAGAGAGAGAGAAACATCGACGCGAAAGGGACACATCGAGTGGTTGCCACCCTCACAACCCAACCAGGGCCGGGGACAAACTGCAACTGAGGTACGAGGTACATGCCCTTAGTGGGAACCGAACCCAGGCCTCTCTGGACCGCAGGCCGACACTCTAACCGCTGAGCCAAACCGGCCAGGGCCATAGCTTCTTATTGTCCTGCCACAACACTGCTGTGCACCATGCTTTGTTTTTCGAAAATGATTTTAGAGAGAGGAGGGGAGTGAGAGAGAGAAACCTCAATTTGTTGTTCCACTTATTTATACATTCATTGGTCAATTCTTTTTTTTATATATTTTGTTGATTTTTTTTTAGAGGGAGAGCGAGAGAAACATCACATCAATCAGCTACGCCCTGCATGCCCCTGCTGGGGAATGAGCCCAAAACCTGGGCATATGCCCTGACCAGGAATCAAACCGGCAATTTTTTGGTGCACAGGATGATGCCCAACCAACTGAGCCACACCAGCCAGGGTTGTACACCATGCTTCTTTTTTTTTTAAATTCTCATCTGAGGATACTTTTCCATTTATCTTCAGACAGAATGGGAGGGGAGGAGAGAGAGAGAGAGAGAGAGGTAAGAGAGGCACATAGACTGGGCTGGGGACCTAACCACAACCAAGGTACGTGCCCTTGACTGGAATTAAACCCTCAACTCTTTGGTCCACGGGCTGATGCTCAAACTACTGAGCCAAGCTGGCCACGGCAAGCAGCATGCTTTTGGAAGGCAGCTATGCTCACCACTATACCACCAACACCTTTTTTTTTTTAAATCCTCACCCGAGGTCATTTTTGCATTTATCATCAGATAGAGCAGGAGGGAGAGAGGGAGGAAGAGAGAGGGAGAAACATTGACTTAAGAGAGACACATCAAGTGGTTGCCACCCACACGATCCCAAATGGGGCTGGAGACAAACTGCAACTGAGGTATGTGCCCTTAGCAGGAACTGAACCCAGGACTCTCTGGTCTGCAGGCTGATGCTCTAACTACTGAGCCAAACCAGCCAGGGCACAGCATGCTTTTGATGGCCTGTTTGTTTTCCTGTTTTAGTAGCTGCCCTGAGGAGACCACTGGAGTCAGAGTCCAGGAAACTGCAGTTTGGTCCCCGATAACCACAGGACAAACAGATCACTTTCTCTCACTGGGCCTCAGTTTCTTTATCTATATAATGGGGGCATAATTTCTACCTGATAGGACTATAAAAGGTAAGATAGTAATAAGAGATATTTATCTATCCCTTACAATGTGCCAGCCACCATACTGGACACTTGACCACATATTTTCATTCACTCTCACGGCAGCTCTAGGAGGTGTTGTTGTCTTCACCCCGTGAGGAAAAAGGAAAGGGATGTGCCCAAGGCTACACAGAACACCTAGCAAGCT